AGGGGGTGGGAGGTGGGGAGTATAACAAGATCAACTGAGTTGATAAAGTAAATTGGCCATGGTCAAGAGTTTAAAAGCTGACATCTTACAGTGGATGGGGATCTCTTCCATGACAAGGACTCAGCTTTGCCATTTGTGCTCTGGAAATAACAAAACAGCAGATAAATTTATTTACAGATCAAAGGAAAAAAAAGAAAACAGTATACAAGGTGTGAATATTAATGTACATCTGCACAGCTTTAGGAAACATGGATAAGGAAACTAGAGGAGAACTGCATTCTTGTACTAAACAAAATCTCACATTGGATGACAAATCTGGTGATAACTCCATTCAAGGGGAACCCTGACTAGAATAAATAATTTTTCTTCAATTAAGTAACCAGATACAGATGTTATACAGTAGGACCTTTAATTAGGGGGCTCCCATAGGACTGTGGAAAGTGTCCCTTGAAAGATCTTTTCATTTTATGGTAAACCGGGACCTGTTTCTCACGGTTAACTTAACACGCTCACAAAGCTGTTCTGTTTTAATTCAAGATGGGGATTTTAAAAGTTTTGAAAATAATACAATTAAAATATCAGCGAAAGACACAAAATGGACTGGTTTTCGAGCCAGAACCTTCCTTTCTATCCTCTAAATTTTGATTTTAAAACATGGCTTCAGGCCAATTCAGTTTCCCAAGTGACAGGCTAGTTTTCTATTCCTTCTAGAATAATCTAGTTTACCTAGGATCACAATTGTGTCAGTGTCAGAGCCATATGCTAAAACAGGAGAAAATTGCAAAGTTCTGATATTTTGCACTCCATTGTTATCAAGCTTGTGACTTGACTGCCAGTATGATTTTCAATTTCAACAAAATCAAAACTGCTCTGACTAACAACTTTAATTAATCATCACTCTAGATCCAACTCTGTTGTGTTTTCCCTTTTGTGCACAAATTAATGTAAATTGCAGTAAGCAAGCAAGGTGAACGCCATTCATCTATGAATAAAAAAAGTCGAAAGAAAATGGAAAATTAAGAGGAAATTAACGTTGAAGCACTCAACCTCAAGGTTCCATTCAGCAATGTAGTGGTGCTGTACATCGAATAGTTAATTTGCATGAATTTTTATCATCAGCGAATTTCGAAATTATGCAGCAGTTTCCAGAAACAAATGAGTGTGTTAGTGAACTAAAATTGTTACTATAAATTATCCTGTTTTTTCCCTTTTTTGTTTCTGTTTTTATTTGTTTTTAAACATGTTGACATACGAGCAGCTTTTTAATTCAAATATCTAGGCATTAAAAGCCAGATGACAATTGTTCACAACTGTCCAAAGCATATCGTGAAAGCATTTACCTCCAACAATCGAGTGCTTGGGAGGAACATTAAAAGGTAGATGTCTATTTGCCACCGGATACAAGCAATCCTATTGTCACGATTCTACTTATGTTAAACAGTTTTTTGGCTATAATGAATGAACAATAATGTCCTTAAAGCCATTAATTATAAACAGAGCTTGCGTTTGCCGCAGTGTATCACTTACAACGATGATTAAACGGTGACCCCGTACTGTTTTGCTTTCTGTATCATATTCTGCCCAACCTTTCTAAGATCTTGAGCTTTTTCAAGTGAAAATTATGTAAATGCAATGAAGATATCGAGAAACTATCAAGGAAGCAATCATAAAATCTACTTCGTTTAAGTTTATAAGGATTTTTTTTCATACTAAATAATCATCGGGCCGCAAGAAAAATTTGCACATTGCACTATGCCTTTCCAGGAAACAAGGGAATACAACTAGTCAGTTTAAAATTTGTTTTATCCTCCTAAACAAAAATTTAAATGGAAAAGATGACAATCAATGACAGGAAATCAAAGAGTTATGATGAGTCAAATGAGTAAACATGAGTACTGCATGGCAATGACTTACTGTTTGACCTTGAACAATGAAATCGATTCTTGTCAACGCACTGTGATCACGACTTGTTTAAAATTAAATGTAAATTCAGTCTAATGTACGGCAAATAGCGATAAAAATACCAGGAAAGTGTCAAACAAGTTATATAAACTTACCTCAGGCTGGTTTACTGGAGAAGAAGAAGAAGGGGATACACTGCTAGTTCCTTCCTTTTGAATGGTCAAAGCATCCCGGGAGAGCTTTACTCGAACCTTCTGAAGCTCAGCTCGGTTGATTTGCATCGAAATACACCCTGTTTTCAGGAAGTTCTGTCGGGAAAACAGGAAATAAGAAAGTGAGCACTAATGCAGCGTTATCTAAACCTTCCCGATAGCTTGTGACTAAAGAATAATTAATAACTACGCGGGGATTATAGAGTCAAAGTGTTCGATTACCTCCGCCATTTTCCGTGTATTCACCGCAAATTCGCCGACCTCAAGCCTACTTACACATAAACCATGAATAAAATAATTTCATAAAAGCAAAAACAGCTCGTGAAGTGGGTCTTAATTGGCAAATTTCGTAAAATATCCCGCCGCGCTTAAACAACCAGCAGACCTCTTGACGAAATGCAATGTTTTGATTTGGGCTTCAGATATTGCGGGCGCATTCACAAACCAATGTTTGCATAACTTGTCTAAAACTGACAGAATTAATGAAAAGTGCGGGATATTTTAAGACAAAATTCCTCTCGTCATATCAAAAACATTCCCCGATGAGCGAAGCTCCTTTTGCTTTCAAAGAAGTCTAAATGAAGTAAAAAAGTGACTGCCTTAAATAATCACAAGATTGAGATCAAAATTCTCGGCGCTAACTTTTGATATTACGTTCGTTATCAGATGAGAGAAAGTAGTTTTGGATCAGAGTGCTTTTGGTTAAAAAAAGAAAACGCGTTTATCGTAAAACGACTCGATGTCAGAGCTGAGAAAGGATTTCCTAATGAACGTAGCAGAGATTGTAAACTGAAAATCGCACTTTCTTTCTACTTGAACTCTTTTAAATGTAAATAACGAGTGTTATTATCCAACTGGACTTTGTAGAGTACAAATCACGCGCGAGACGAGTACAAATATCACGCGATATTTGTACTCCAGAAATATCCGTGAAATTCGCCCGCACTGAAATAACAATTTGGCGTGTGGGATAATAAATCTCTTATTAGCCGTTTCGTTGTGTAGTATCGCTGAGTATTTTTACTCGTTGTTTGTATTTTGACTTGCCCTACGGGCTTGTCAAAATACGGCAAAACTCGTAAAAATACTCAGCGATACTACACAACAAAACGTCAAATAAGATATATGTATGTTTTGATCGATGAAGCTGGCTCCCAAATCACAAGACATTCTCAAGGGGACAAATTTTGATCACATCACTTGAATTCACATCTGCATGTACCAGCCAGGCAACAATCACATGCATTGCAGATTTGCTGAGATTTTTAACCCTTTCCCTCTCAACCATGATCTAATTAGTAATTCTCCTTATTGTCTGCCATACAATTTCTTATAGTGCTAGATTAGAGAATTTGGCATTCGATCAATTGATAATCCCTTGATATTTTTCTTAATTCTCATCACTTGTATGCTTGTTATTGTATTGATATTGTAAGGAGAAATTCAGTCTTGGTCACTTTTGGGAGTTAAAAGGATTAACAAGTAAGTTGGTTAACTGAGTAGAGACTTATACCATCAACTGATTTGTGCAGAAACATGATCGTTTCTAACATGAACCCCTCTCGCAGCGAACTCTGAAGATAAGAGGATTTTGAACACTTATGAAAAAAAAAAATTAAAGGGATATGATAACGTTGAACGTACGCTCTCGATGATTGCCTCAAATAATCTCGTTTTCTGCAAAATGTGAATTGATAAAAGCTCAGAAATAGGAGATTTTTTCCTTTCAAATTCTACCAAGGAGAACTGGTCTCTGCGTAGGGGCGACGATCAGTTTGCTTGTTTACTTGGCGGTGATGTCAATTATCTTGATAAAACGAAACATAATATTTTCTTTTTTGAAACATTTGCGGCAATATATATCTCTTTGCTTTCAGAAGCAAAAAGCGTTGTCAAAAATTGAGACTCTTCATTCCTTGTATTACACTGCAAAATCGAAACACAATAATAGCTTCACAATACTTTTTAATTTTCTTCTTTTTATTTTTTTTTCGGTTCGCACCCCTCAATACCAGGCGGGCTGCTTACAATGATCTAGATCCAATTACCCCTCAATCAGTTATGAGAATTAGGGAATTCAGCAATAAGCTATTTTACTGTCGTGATAGCTCTAAAGAGCATCAAAATTTTCGAATTATTTTTTCCTGAAAATAGATTTTTAGATAAATTTTAAAAAAATTACGTTTGAGATCAGCAGCAAAATGAATAAGATAAGAACCCTTTTGTTTTGAGAACTAATTCATCAAACTGGAACTACTTCGTCTGATCAGTTAACAGTCAGATTTCTCTCACATTTCTTAAAAAAATAGGGAAAAATCCAGCCACAACACTTGACGACCTATCGGATTAAAAATAAAGCGATCAAGAAGGGCTGAAAAGAGGTTTGTATCCAATTTGAAATAAGATATGCCGATTGCTAATAATTCACCGATAACTAGGTTTGGTTTTAATAATACCAACACGTGCAGTTCAATGGCATGTCGCTAAACACAAAGTCGAGTGATAAATGTTACTAAAACCATGTTCTGCTGTTCCTTGTTCGTCGAACACTTCTGGTCATTATAAGATATACTAACATCGCTTTCAAGTTGGAAGCGTTATATAATTTTTGATCTGACATATGCTCGGCGACATTAAAAAACCCGAGGTCAATCACTTACCGAAGATAGCGCCGCGTTGCTTCACTGGCTGGGACTGTACTACATGACAATCAGTTAATTACAGTTTGGCGTACATTCAAAGCAGGAGTTCCATTCACATTGTAAGATCACGACATCTGAAATGCTTTCCGACGACATGAAAACAAAACTTGGGCACTGCTAAGAGAGATAAAGTCGTCGAAAGGAAAAGTAACCAATCGGATAATCCAGTGAACAATTGAAAACAGCGTGAGGCTATTTTCAGAAATTAACTTTTATTTTGTTTTGACAGAGAAACCGCTTAAGGAGGTAAATTATTTCGATTCGTTTATTTGTTAAACGCAAGATACTTAGTAATGGCTGGGGAAGACATAACAGGCCATGGGCCGTCTATTTGGTAAAAAACCCGCTCTTTTCTAATAAATAGGAATCTTCTTTTCACCAAAAGGGGAACCTTAAAGAAAGCTGAAAACTTACGCTAAATTTGACAAGCAGATTCAACTGTTGAAATTCAAATTTGTGGCTATCAATGTTTTTGTCCACAGGAAACAAGATTCAGATAAAGGAAGTGATTGTTGCTTGGCAGAAAGATAAGCAGTCTGAGATATAATCAAAATTCATTTGCATAAAGCCGATCAAAAAAACAGACGTAACCTTGCCAACAGCCGCAAGTCTTGCAGAATTTCACGCTGTGCAATTTTGACAAGCAACAAGCCTCCACTCTTTTTTCTCGAATTGTGCGCGAAATTCTAAATTCCTCCGGAATCAGAAAGTACCACAGTGGACGCAAATAACTCTACCGTCGCGCTAAAATGAGAAGGTGAGGACAAACCAAAACAAAACGGAAAAATAAAGGGAAAAAAAAAGAAGAATAAAACCAAAACAAAGATTGATTTCCCAGCCCAGCACAGACTAAACAAAACCATGATAAATATTTATATTTTAGGCAAAAAGAAATAAAAAAAAAGAGACAGACACATTTTCGTTGTACAAATCTTATCATGGAAAAAAAAAAGCAATGTTCCCATGAAATTTCCAATAGATTTCCTATCATGAAAGCATTTTCATATACAGACAATATGCTGTGGTTTTAGCGTAATCCGTTTATGCAACACTTGAACAAATTTTTGCATAGAATAACGCCATAAAGGCTCGTCGTCCTCTCATTAATTCCTTTGCATACAGAGTATTGAACGTTCCGAGTAGTTGGCTCTCGGGCAGCAATCAGTTGAGCGCGACACTGAGAACACTGCAGTGAAAACTCGAGTTTCTTTGTGAGTTTTACATGAACCTATATTCACCTCTGCTGTTGGAAGAAATTTCTAGATTAATGAATTTTAACGCAAAGTTTGGAGCAAAGGTCAAAATACATCGTAAGAGAAATTCACTGTGCTCTGTCTTTGAATCTAGTCTGTTTAAATTATTTATCATTTAAACAGTTGTCAGCGTGTTGAGTAACTTATGAAGATCAGTAATGTAAAGGTCACGGTATGTAAAACAAGAACAAATCCCTGAGCAAGAGCACTCTTCAGGATGAACCGGTTCAAATTCTACAAAGTATGGCATGTTAATCAACTAAAACTTCTCCTTGGTGTGTAAAAGAGACACAGTTCTCGCTACAGCCCGCCATTTCAAAATAATTTTATCGTGATATTGGCGAAGGTCACTGAGCGCAGAGCATGGATAATAAATTAAGATGATTTCCTTTCATTTCACTGTGGATTTACTTTCAAACACACAGGAAATATGGGTGAACTGTTAGTCGATTTAATGAAGCCTCTTGTGTGCGCCTCCTTTTCACAGCAGAGAAGCGATAAAAAGAATGACGGACTCACTTAAGTTACTTAATCACGTATCGTACGTAAAACGCTATCGGAAAATAGGTCCACTTTGTCAGCTTGTCGACCCAGCATCACTTACCTTTCTATGACACGAATATCCTCTGTCAACGTTTGGTTTGTTAAAGGGAAACTTAAACCACACTTAGAAATGATCGAGTTTCTCTCGCTTGACATGGGAGATCTTCTCTACAAGTCCAGAAACACGGATCGGCATACTAAATGTCGTGACAGGTAATATAATATAATATTGACATTCCACGCTAAATTATTTCCTCTAATGAAGAATTTAGGGTCAATATACATCCAAGTGGTCAATGAATTCACAGTAACAATATAAGCTAATGGAATCATATAAGGCAATTCTGACACGTTTCTCGAATACTAAGTGTGACTGTCGGCACTCTCATGTAAACCAATCCATTATTTTACGTCGCTGTAAAATATGAAATAATTAAGATCTTCCCGTTGAAATATTTAAAGAAGGTTTGCAACTTCATCCTGCTGGGTGTACAATCAGCCAGCCGTGAGGTGGTGTAATGAACTGGAAACTGATCGGTGACTGAATCGAGACAAATCATCTGTTCGTCGCTCTTTCTAGTACCCTCCCCTCCCCCCACCGAGTTTTCTTTGCAGTACCCTTCCCAACAGAGTTTTCTGAACAAGGATCTTCACAGCACTTTCGATAGGGTTCGCTACATCGTGAGAAACAACAAAAATAATGCTAATCACGTTTTCATAACGTAATTTCATCTGCATGAACAAAGCAAAACTTTTCTGGATTTTGAACTACTTTTGCAACCATGACAGAACAAAGGGTAAGGAGTCAATTGGTGTTGGTGATTTTAACTGTGACATGTACCCTAAAAAGAGACTCTCTTCAGATGCCAAAAAACTACGCGATCTCTTCAATCTTTATCAGTTAAATCAACTTATACAAAGACCAACACGTATAACTGTTCGCTCCTCTACTATTATAGACTCAATGCATCCGATGCTAGAACTGTTCTTGTTGGATGATATTACGTTTTTAAGAGTTTTCCACAGTTTACTCGAGTCCTTTTTGTTTTCATTAATTAGGTTGGAATACATAGACAGGTAAAAACGAACGATATAATATCCCGACGTTTCGGCGACTTCATGACGCCATTATCAAGGGTACAAATGAAAATAAAATTAACAAATGCGAGTTCAAGAGTTACAACTAATTTGCATAGGGGAGGTAGCTACACAAATACTTTAGCACGGATAGAATCCGTTTGCACGTTCAAACTCGGTGTTAATTGTTTGATGTAAAGCATCTCGTTGACAAGACAATCGAATTTGTTCATGCACTTCTTGAGAACTTTGAAACAGCTAAGAAGGTCCTCAGGGACAGCACCTGCGTGGTCGTTGTCGTAGTGCTTGCGTACTGAAGATGACGTGCTCTTATGGCTATCCACGCGGGCATATAAATGCCCACGTGTGTAACCAACATAGCTCCCTGTATCGCACAGGTTACATTTAAATTGGTACACTACGCACTGTTGATTAACCAGCTGTGGTTTGGTTTCACATTCTTTAAGGTCTTGGCCAATTTTCCGACTGACAAATACGGGCTGGATTGTGGTTTGGAGCTTAATGCTAAGGTCTTNAATCTGCAACTGTCACACCAATCTTTCAGTCGGGCTCTAAAATGGATTCAGCAAACTACCGACCTATCTCAGTCCTGCCTGTCTTCAGTAAAATTCTTGAACACGCTGTCCATCTCATGGTTTATGAAAATCTCCGGCGGAACAAGCTCTTATCTGTAAATCAATCTGGTTTTCGTCCACTTCACTCTACAGCTACACGTCTTAAGGATGTCATCAACAACCTTCTCTACAATATAGACAAGGGTTTATTAACAGGGATGGCCTTCCTTGACTTCTCAAAAGCGTTTGACACTTTAGATCACAAATACCCATTTGTAAATATTCTCGTAGTTATGACATTATACATTTGTTTTATATTGTATCATATGTAATTGTATTATAATTTATTTTATGCAGAGCCCCATTTAAACCAGCATATGCTGAACTGGGCATCTCTGCTAAAATATTGTTGATAAATAAATAAAGTATTCGTAGAAATTAACATAAAAATACGGTAATTTTTCCATCAACAGAAAAAGCCATAGAAATCTAATTTTTTTGAAGGTCACAAGTTTTGGCTGAGTGTGTTACAAGGTAGTGTCTCGCCCTCCTAACTTACACGAATACTGTTATCGAGTCAGCGTTTTTTCCCCCCCAAGCTTCCTGCTTTACTAAGTTTCGCACGAAAAGGTACATATTTCAAGATAATCTCCACGTTACACATTTCTTTCGTTGCCTTGATTAACTTTGCACAGAGCACTTGCCATTTACAAGAAGAAATATATTTTTTTTATCGCATTACTCCAACGAGATAAATGATCAATCAACCGCTGACCCTTAACTTGAAAGGTACAAACTAATCCTGTCCCTTTCTCACGCATGCTTTGAAAAATCTTTGGCTATAAGCATAGAAACTAGTTTCCAGTCCTCATTTGTTACTTCTTCTTTTTCAGTCCAGGCACGTGAGCACATGTGCCATCTTTACCATCTGGTTCGTTAGCAAAGTCCCAGTCTGACGAGTGACCTACAAACGATGGGACAAATCTGCTTCCATCTGTCAATAACAAACATACGAGAAGTCTTTGTAATGATACTAGCATGTAAATATATCATACTTCAGTAACAAGCAGGGAAAAACAATTCATACTTTCCGCAATGATTTTAAAGCATTTGTTTTCAACAGTTCTCTGGGTTTTTACCCTGTTTTTTCAAAGAACAACAACAACGACTTCATCCGACGAAACACTCACCGACCTACTACTGTGCTACCGAAACAAACGACACCGCAACCCCCACGACTGCAGCAACCATACCGTTCATAAAAGGCATGTCTGATAACATCTCGCGCATCTTATAACCCTTCAATATCCGCGTCGCCCACAAACTCATCACCACACTACGTCAGTTACGAACCAACGTTAAACACAAAGACGAACCGAGGAACAGACAGGGAACTATTTAGAAGATCAATTGCTCCGGTTGACTAGCTTCCTACATTGGAGACAATGGCGGAAACCTCACAACAAGACTGACTGAACATAGACGGGCGACAGGGAAAGGTGATGTCGACAATCCCATTGCTGAACATCATCGACTTACAAACCACAATACTGACTGGGACTTTGCGTAATACCTAACCTACAGCGCTAACTACTTTCAACGACTGACTCTGGAAAGCTTGTTTACTATTTTAGAACAGACTCCCCTAAACAGGTGTCAACTACTACCGGCTCCATACAAACGACTCATTCACGACATTAACATCACAAACGAATCGAACAGAACGACCCAACTTTACCGACGGATCAAAACAGACCAATCACGACCGACTTACGCCACTTGAGTCTTACAGCCAATAATATCATGGCAAACTGACCAATCATTTTACGCGAACTGGACTAAGAACTGTTGTTGCTTTGAAATGCCGAAAGCCCAAAACTCCGGGCTACTCAAGCCGGTTTTGCCTCCAGTCAAACCGGTTTTGGTGCGCACGCCTTTGTTTTTCATGTACACAGATGACTAAATCTGCGCCCACAATAGTTCAAGGGGGCCTTGAAAAGGATCAGTTTCTACGCAACCGCCGCGCATATTCAAACGAGCCACAACAGGATGTCGGCAGAGCCTTTTTCCCTTTTCGATTCGAGGACGGGTTAAAAAGGCTCTGCTCACATGGTACAGTTCTCTTTCTCGTGCACTTCAAGTCCTATCGAGGAGCTTGCGAATTTAATATATAAATTAACAATTTAATGAAAAAACCCTCAATGTTGAAATAAACATAAATAAATCACCGTGAAAAAACGCTTACACAGTTACCAGCGATAAGATGTTCTCTTAGGGCGAGACCACGCTAAAACCGAAAAAAGAACGTCCATCGCAACTTCTATGAAAGGAAAAAAAGCAAAAGTGCACAAACAACACCAACCTCTAAGCTGTGAGTTCTCTGACAAAATTTCCTCTTCGCAAGACTTCAAAGCTTCTTTGAGGGATACAATGGCTGCTTTAAAGGGCTCCAGGTCGACCCAGCTACAGTGTTTTTGGATATCAGAGGTTATTTCAACTATATTGGCGTCGGCTCTTTCAATTTCGTCCATCTTGTTCCTTAAAATACTCATTGACCTTCCTTGCTGTTCTTGAGTCTTTAGAAATAAGTCAGCTTGACTTAATACGCTGCTTAATTTCGTATTCAGCGGAAAAAACTCGTCTATGAATAACTTTCGATAGGCATTAAACTCTTCCACTTTGTTAAAGTGGGGGCTACCGACTGCTTGGTGACTTTCCACGGTTAAGTATGCTGCAAAGCTACTAGATATAGGATTGTTATCTTCTGTTTCCTTTTCCCAGTCTTCCACAGAAAACTGGGCGTTATCATTCTTCCCTAGGCTGAAACGTACGTTGCAAATGCCGCAGCCGGACTGATCAACTCTAAAAGAGCTGAAGTATGCATCTAACGGGTCTTCGTGAGCATTCTCTTGAAGAAGAGCCTCTTCAGGAATCCGATCTTCCATTTCATTACATTTTTCCCAGGATTCGGCTTGAATGACCTCCTTTCTCTTTATAGCTTCCAACTTCTCAGTTTGCGAGCGGTCTAAATCTCTCGTGGGGTGCTCCTCGTCTACGTTAAGTTCGTTCAAGAATCCTTCTTCTATATCCCCTGACTCTGTCACCTTTTCGGCTGGAAGTTCTTCTGTTGTTTGAGCCAATCTCTCCAACACGTCAGTGTAAAAGTTGTTGCGGTAACATTCAGGGTTCACTTCTTGCCGCCACAGCTGTCGAGAAACGTTTTCCCATTGAACGGTGTACAAATTCTCACCTCTCTCCCTCAACAGTTTATGAAGAATGACAACAATCTCTCGGATTCCCTTGGACTCTCGAACCTTTTCCAGGCACAGTGCCATCCTGTCTGGAAGCATGACCTCAGCAGGTGGTGCAGTGTAAAGGTTTTCCAAAAGCTTTAGCTCGCTCTCACGAGGGACTGACTGACCGCTGTTGCATAACAAAGTAAGGACCAAGACAAGTGCCCGCTCTGCTTCTCCTGAGTGAATACTCTCATTACAGTGAAGGACTTTCTTTAATAAGTTGAAATTCTGGGAATATCCTCCTAGCATAAGAGACACCATGTCATGCAGGAACTTTTTCACGAGACGGATATTCAATGGATGACTTTGATACAAGAAAACTGCTTGGTAAATTTCTACATGCTCGGAAGTGGTGCAATTAAGAGTGTTCCAAAATGACATTACGGACAAATAACTGGCCGGAAGACACACTAGATCACGAGAATTCTGAGCCTGTTGAAGTCGAGCGAACAGAGTCAGAAACACACACGTGAAGTACTCCAGGATATCCAGACAGTTTTTCGGCGTGGGGTATGGAATTCGTTTTCTTGGGTTTGCAGTCATTGATAAGAAACGGCGAACTGCGTTGTGCCCAGCTTCAAGGATGTCGCCGCATGCATGCAAATATGTCTTGGACATTTCCCACCAACGGGAAAATAAAGTCATCTTTGTACCCTCGAGAGCAATTCCCACTGTTTTCGGAATTATAGGCTTGCCGTTCAGCATGACGCAGGTTTTCCTAAATTCATCTTCAGTCTCTTCAATCCAGGAAAGAATTCTAAGCGAAGGAGACCCAATAAGCTGAAGAAGGTGCGAAACAGTCAGAAATACATCAGCGCTTTGAAGCTTGGCTTCATCAGTTGCACGCTTCTTCCAAACTTCCTCGGCAAATTTTAAAAGACGCTGCTTGAAGAACCAAGGCGTTTTATCTCGGAAAGAACAGATGTAAGAATGTAGGGGAACATCGACTGATTGGCCGCTGGCAGGAAAGAAGAATTCAAATAGTTTCTCACAAGATGCGAAGCCATCTCTCGGAAAAAGGTTTCCCAAGTCTTCTGTTGGGTTAGGTGAATTTATCTCCCATCCGTCCATGCCAAAGTTATGGGTAGCATATCTCTTTTCCAATTTTTGGAAGTCATTAGCTTGAGCATCAAGGTACATTTCATCTAAAATTGCCTTAAACAGCGCGTCATTGGTATTCTGGGATGGAGACATGTGTCGGTGCGGACAACTTTCGGAATTGCAAGGGAAGCCCACCAAAAAGTTCTGGCATCTCTGATGTGTTAGGAACGTTTTATCCAAGAGCACACGGATCGATTGAATAAGCTTGGTGACTCTGTTAAAAAGAATTTCAGCTATGCGCTCACGGACATCTTGGAGATCCATCTCCCATCTGCTGCCAGCAACAGGGCGTTTCTGTAGTCCTTGGGCCAAGTAAAGAAAGCGATCCCCTTCTTTGCGTCTAATAACTCTTTTAGATAGATCGCCTTCTTTGAAAAGTCCAAAGTACTCCTCACACCGGTCGATTTCCTTCTGTGTCATTACGTCCAAATTGCTGGCATTCAATGATTTAATCAGTTGCAGGACGTCTCTCACCAATCTCACCGCAGGGGTTGTATTAACATCAGACAGACCATGTTCCGGATGAGTGCAATCCAACATTACTTCCACACATTCAAGCTCCCCACAGATATTATAATTTGTGGATAATTTAAAAATGTTCGCAGCCTCTATTGCTTTCCTACAGGCTGCAACACGCTTGGCTTCCTCTAACAGAACTTCAGCAAAGCCATTCATCTGCCCTGCTTCTTTGTAAAGATTTTTAGCTTCCTGTAGATGTTTAGCTTGTTCCTCTCTAGGCATGTTCTTTGAGCTACGAACGTGCGCCAAAGTACAATCAGCTGCTAGTTGCTGGTGGCCAGACCTTTTAGCGTAGTCGACTGCGACTAGAAAGGATCCTTTTTCTCTCATTAACTTCGCTGCTTCGACAGCTCTCCCTTCCTTCAGAAGTTCCTTCGCAGCGTCGTCAAGCATCTTGCGCTTTTTCAAAAACTCAACCCGAATTTCCACAGGATGAACAGACTTAAGTGAGGTGTGCATTTTCGCCATATTTCCACCCTTGAAACTGAGTTCAGCAGAGGCTAAGCATAATTCTTGCAGAGTCCTTCCGGGCGCAAGGACCTCTTTCTGATCACCTGATGATAATTTCTCGAAGCGCGAGAGAACATCGACGGCGTTTTGGTAAAGGTTCCCTCGAATAAGGACTTCCACTGCTTCCTTGTAGTTTCCAAGCTTCTCGAGGCACTGACTTGCTTCTACAAAGCTACCCGCTTTTTCGAACCATTTTATCGCATCTTTCTCCTGTAAAGATAAAATTAAATGCTTCGTCATACAACACAAGCCAGTAGCCCTCAGTTTTCCTTGCTTCAACTCATTCTTTCAAATATTTTTTGCTGTACCAAAATATGATAGAGAATGAACTGAGAACCAGCAACAGCAGGCGTAGATTAATGTTTATAATCACAGATGGAGCCTTAGTTAGCTTTACAAAATTAGGTAGACACAAATTATCTACAAGGACGTCCGATTTTGCGTGCCACCAAAATAAGAACTTAAATGTCTGCTTCCTACCTCGCCGAGTTTCTGAAGAAGGCTTGCGTATAGGGCTCTTTCTCTTGCATTGTACAGGCACACCTTAGTTTCTGGAATCATTTTGCATTGCAGAAACTGGTCGGCTGCTCGTAAGAATTCATCCTTCAGACGTCGTGGCTCACTGTGAAGAGTTCGTGCGTAGTCTGCTTGTACGTAAGCTTCGCATTTTTGGCTCATTCCGCCATTACCACAAATTGTAAAGCATTTCTTGGCAACCTTCCAAAGCTTCTTGCTGAAAAAGAATTGTCCTTGTTTTTCCCATTCTTCTGGAGATGACGGCTTGGAGAACATACTTTGTAAAGCCTGACCACAACGGGGATCATTTCCCGCGTCCGCTTCTAGTTTTGCAACGTTCGCCAGGCCAAGTTGCTCGAAGTATTCGAATACAGGTCGACGATTTTCTTCATTTTCGTCAAAGAACCAAACGTTTGCTCGGGCTCGAGTCACTGCTGTGTACAGTTGCTTTAGTTCGGAGTTGAGGATTCTGTGCTTCTCAGGGTTGAACGTCAATGGACGGGATTTGATTTTCCCAGTCTCACAGCCTACCACCTCCAACAGATACTGCGTAACAACTCTCCACTCTGCACACGCCTGTGAAGAAAAATTACGAATATTGTTCATGAAAGCAAAACAAAAATTTTGCAATGTAACGAGGAGCCTATTTCCTCTGCAGTCGGCAACCACCTTTCAATGTCGATTCAGTCCTTTATCAAGTTAGAGATATTTGACACGGAGAAACACGTCTCGGTGTATCCGCAGCACTTCATACTGGGAGATATCTTGAAGAGGGATGCTTTTTCGTCTTGTCACGAGCATGGGAGGCCTTAGACCTCTCCATCTCTCTCATTCGAAGACACATCTTCAAAACCGAAATTGAAGACTTATCTCCACTCTTAATTTTACCGTCCAGGGGAAAAAATAACACGTAGGAGATATACCATCACATTCGTAAATCTTACACTGAGACATTTACTCCAACCAGACAAAAAAGCCTCATTTAAGTTTGTCCTCACCTGTGAGTCTTTGAAGAAGTTGTAAACAAGAACGTCATCAAATTCTAATCCTTTTGCCTCGTAAATTGTCAGCACTAATGCGTGGCTAAGTTCTTCCGGAAGACTCTCTCTCGCTTCGTTAGAAGCCACCAAGATGACTTGATGAGCACCAAACTCAATGGTGGTCGTCTCACGCTTATTTCCACGAAGAATAATTGCAAGATCTGATGGACTGCACGATTCGAGGAGTACTGGCTTGGGACCATCCAGCTGCCCTTGATCTCTCTCCAGCTTGTCAAATGATTCAGGAAAGTATTTCTGTAAAATGTTGACGACACTGGAAGCCAAACCCAAAACTCCGCTGTGTGACCGGTAGTTTAAAACGAGCTGCTTTCGCCTTGGAACGACGATTTCTGCTTGAGCTCCAACAGCTTTGTAGTTGTCATTCAAGTAAAAGAAAAGTGATCCCAGGTCTTCGAATCGAAAGGAAATACCTCGCATTACACTTTGGGCGGTATCGCCAGTGAGAAAGATCGCATTAGGATCACGGCAACAGCGTATTAGCAGCATCAACTCTGCTTGAGTGAAGTCCTGCGTTTCATCCACGTACAACTCGTGGATTGACCAATCAGGTACTGCACACTGCCTCAATCGGTGATACAGATCGAACACAACGTCGTTTTCATCAATCATGTTGGACTGTTTCCTGAAATGCTCATAAGATTTAAACAGCCTATAAACTTCTGCTCTGCCTCCATCTTTGAAGTTAGACGCCCTCTTTAGTCCAATCCCTTGATACTTCTCAAAACTAAGATAACCGCTTCTTGTATGCAGAGCCTCGTAAGAGCCCTTAATAAATGATCGTATCTCCATCCAAACCAACGATGGGTGGAAGCTAACGTGCTTCTTTTTCTTACACATTTTTGGCCACAGGGAGTTCTCAAAAATACTGTAACTAACCAGTTGCAGTCTTCCCTGATGAAAAGTGGTTTCAGCGGGTTCAAACGGTTCCTCCTCCTCCTCCTCATCTGTGTCATCTTTGGAATCTTCGTCTTCGTCCTCATCCTCATCCATAACAGGAATAGTAGACAGCTGGTTGCCTTCTTCGCCCCAGTCCTGCATTCTCCCCTGCAAGCTTCCATCTTCATTACGTGGAAAGAAATAAGGTTCAGGAAGAGAGGCATCTAACATGATGTAAAAGTCACGTGCATTCAAAAAGAGTGGCCAAGCCCCGGAAGCGTCATCGACGTCCTGAAGCTTGTGCGATGTGGCTTTTCCTTGGTTGGAATCGTGTTTTACAAATGGGCACGCTTGACTCAAGGCCTTAAAATTCTTTTGGATTTCTTGGCAAAGGACACCATTCTTGGTTACAAACAACTGATGAAGATGTTCCAAACATTCGCCGTGTTCAAGTCCAGTTTCAATTTGAACAGATGGATCCAAATGACAACAAGCAGTTACCTCACCACAATCACCATCCGCTACTCCACTGTCACAACTACTCTTTGCTTTTTGTAGTTCGTTGTGAGTAGTTTTGACATCATTTCCTCCGTTAGAGTTTTCTAAAGACAAACTTGGGCTCTCTTTAGGAAGAAATACAGTGTTCTTTGGTATCCATGGCCCGCTTTTTGAGGCACTTTTCCAGTATTGCAGGAAACACTTCCACAGACGATATAGGATGCATGTTGTCTTCCCAGTTCCACTCCGCCCAATCAAAATGATGGAGCTCTGGGGGGTTGGTTTAAAGTTGATGATGTCATATTCCTCTTCTGTCACTCGAAATGGAAAGTCGATTTCGGCATTACACGACTGCTGTTCCCGTATAGCCTGGATCATGGCGCTGGATAGGTGGTAAAACTTTAATACTTGATACTCATTATCATTATGGCTAGCTGGAGGAAAGAAAGTCACTTCATTACCACCCGATTTAGAATTTACCGCTTCTTCTTCTGGTTTAACACGTGAGCGAGTACACAGGTTTTTTTCAGTAAGTTTAACATAGAGATTTGGACCTTGGTTTTGGGAAGCCTCTTCCCTGGGAAGTCCTCTGAGTTCCTTTCTCAGGTTGCAACCTTTGCCACGAGTGAAGGATGTAACAATGTTTTCTATGGTGCGCGAGACATTGTCATGATCAAACTCGATATCCCATATTCGGATGGTTTCTGAATAGATCGTGGACTTCATTTCACAGTCTTTGTCTGAATATCGGGGGGAGAAAGCGACTGCACATTCCCAGATGATTCTTGCAGCATCTGTCAATCTTGTTTCGTACAAAAGCATGCCACGGCTCTTCGGGAGACCTTCAAGTCTCTTACACAAGTGTGGGGTCCAGTTGTCTCGGCCTTGAGCAAGACTTCTCACCTTGTCGAAAAAGCGCTCTTTCATCCATGACTCTAGCCGTTTGTCACTTAATATTTTCCAAACTTTTGCAGTGCATTCCACATCCCATGGCAAACCCTCGAAAGAAGACAACTTAACAACATTGTCAGTGTTTTCTTTAGCAACACGGAATTCGTTTGATTCACGTTTTTGAAATGTTCGATCATCTTCTTCTACTAAAGCAGTCTGATACAGGAGACTTCTGTAACCTTGCTCTTCCTTGTTTGCGTACAATTCAGCTTTTTCTTGTGGAGTCACTTTTTTCAATTTCTTTGATATTTTGAGCCAGTCACGGACATCTAACTTCTTGATAAGTGACAGGACACGTTCGCGGACAATGGCTAAAGTCTCCTTCCTCAAATTATTGGATTTTGCGTATGACATGGAAGGAGGCGAGGTTAGAGTGTCACTTAGAAAATGCAGAGACTTTGGTTCCTCAATAGAGCTTCGCTCTGCTTTGGCCTCGTCGATTTTTTCTTCCGCATTTAGCTCTGCGACATTTGAATCGAGGGATTTGTCAATTTTAAAATTCTCTTCAGCCGAGCTCAGTAGCTTTCTCCGATTATCCCTGGGTTTTAAAACCAAAAACAGTGACGTTAGATACCTCATTTAATGAATAGTACAGACTTGCAATGGTAAATTTATTAGACACAAATGTGAACTCATGGTAAACAATTCGTTGGCGAACTAAGACAAACTCCACCACCACCTTAAAGGCAACCTAAATGAGGTTTGTCTTCAAGCAAAAATGAGACAAGTTATGGTTTATTGACTAAGAAAAGATCAGATACCTTCAACTTTGGAGTTTGTCAAGTTTATTTCTTTGAGCGATGAATAAATCGACCTCATTCAAGTCACTTACCTGACTGAAATAAGATCCAAGGGTTTCTTTTTGAGTTTGTTTATAATTAGTGGATTTGCTCCTGCTTCGAGAACAAGTCGCATCGCCTCCAATTTCATAGCATTCAATTTTCCTCGACAAAGGAGATGCAGGAGCGTGTTTCCATCTGCGTCTTGAAAATCGACAGAGTATCTTTTATCATCAAGGAAGAACTTTAATATTGCGAAGTTACCTGAAAACAAGATGGAAATAAAAAAGATTGATACTTCGTATCATTTGTTTAACGAAAACGTTTAACAATTCAAGGCATCCATGGTCCACAATTGCCATTATTTTAAATTATTATTTCCTTTCTTCTTAATCAAGTTTAATTCTGAATTTGAATCAATTAGTAATAGCTGCTGTTGTACTTGTAGTAATTTTATTGATGCTGAAAAACCCTCTTCAGGAGATTTAATAAAGTATGTAGATATGTATTTGTGTAGGTAAGTATGTGCGCATGTACATACATACTTACCTACGGATGTATGAAAGCGTGTGTCTGTCTGCGTATCTGTATGCACCTGATTGGTTGAGAGTGGCGACTATTTTCCAGCCCAATCAAAGTGTGAGGAAAGATAAAACAAGACTTATACAATAACCGATTACTTGCGACACTCATTTAAAAATAGCTCTTCGCTCGTGAAAGTGCTTCACTGACTCCAGTGAATAAGTCTGATATAACTATCTGATTCAAATCTGATTCTATTTTCACCTTTCTTGAGACCAATTCGCAGCGAAGCATGCAAAATGCTGTCTCCGTCTTCTTCAACCAAATCCTTGCCATCAGCTCCATACTCTAAAAGCATCAATGCCAACTCCAAGTTGTCTCTCTCCAAACAAATTGTCAGCGGTGACTTACTGTTGTCAGGGAGACCTCCTGCAGGTGCCTTTCTTTCCAGGAGGGTTTTCAAGAGATCATTTCTATTCTCGGTGTCCCATTCCAAAACCAAGTCAACCGGAACACAAGAGGCCTCACAATCATCAGCCCAGGACACTTGATAAAGGAGCACTGATAGATTCTCAATAGCTTTTGTTTTCACACACTCAGTGATTAACTTCTCCACAAAATATTTAGGGACAGGACGTTCAGCTCCAAACACCTGAAATTCTGGGGAATACAAAGCTACGTTTACTAAAACAGCGATTGTAAAAGACGTTGGGCAGGCTAGGTAGTCCTGCATTTGCAACGGAAAGAGAAAGTAGAACGGTTGTAAAATTATATCGTTGGCGTCCTTACACCTGACAAGTTCTGTCGTCATTCACCTTTGACGGCCCGTTTTTGGGCCGTTCTTGTAGCTAAGAAGATTGTAGATAAGATAACATAATTCATCTATCGTCAAGTACAAGGAGATGGTCTCCTAATCTCCCGAGCCTGAGGCTCATGATATCCGTGTTTGACAAGCTAAGAAACAAGGACTATACAAGGTAAAAAAAAGACTTTAAAAAAAATAGAAATAAGATTAGGAGACTAATCTTAATTACTGAATGGTCAAGTCTGAAGGTAATTGTCATATAATAAGTAAGAGTGTGGTTCATATAAAATGTCAACTTATTTAGTCCATCAAAATATGAATATCAGATAACCGAATAGACATTGGCAGCCAATAAAATCAAAATCATTTCATTAAACGTCTGTGATTAGATGTGCTTTTTGGAAATTATGGCAGCTTATTCCAAATAGTAGAAATGATGTACGAGTACGAACCGTGAATAACTTTTTCCAAGTTTAGCTTATCACTTCTAAGATTGTCTGGTGTGACTCAGGGTTTCTAAATCTAAATCTAAATGTCTAATCTGCAAAGGGCAATACAGCCCATCTTCAGCAGATATACCAACCCATCCCATCCCAGGGGAGGACATCCACCACACAATAATCTCGTACGTGGGAAATTAACGTCTCCTACCCCTAACCCTGCAGGAGACGGGAACTGCGGTTTATTCGTCCTTATCCGAGAAGACTAGACCATCTATCCATTTCTTGATATTATAGAAAGGTAGCACATTCTCCTAAGTTATTTTAAGACCCTGAGTGTTGGTCCGGCCGGGGCTTGAACCCTCGACCTCTCGCACAACAGTCTACCAATTGAGCTAACCAGGAGGCGGCTTTGAATATATATAAGTTTGATATATGACGTGGGTCATTTTTCTAAAAACATTTAAAGAATATTAACAGAGATTGTTCTGCATATCTATGTTCTAATGTTCCTTTATTTTACAAAACCACCTTCTGTCTCGAATTGTTTAAACACAACAATTTAATTTATTCATTTATCACAGGACCACGTTAGTAAATAAATGTCCACTCTCAGCCCCTTTCAGCATGCCGGAGTTATCCGAACCAGCAGATACATGCGTCACCCCCACTCCCC